AAAAAGAAAGATTTCAATAATGCCCAAAAGCTTTAATTCCTTATATTTTATTCATGCAAAACAATTTAGTTTATTTTTTCTGTTTAACCAGAACAAGGAAAAAAAAGAAAGCATTAGGTTTTTGAAAAACAATACCTGAGTTTTGTCAATTAAACTTAACTGAATAAAAGACTATGGATTTTTATTAAAAATTATTCTTTTATTATTTACCTGTTGGTAATTCAATAATCATATTTCGACGAATATTTAATGTACGAAGTGTTGATAATGCTCCTATTTGATAAGGTAATTGTGTAATATCATTTGAACTGACATCCTATTGTTGTTTTTTTTTATAATAGAATAAATTAAAGAAAAAACAGAATAAATTTTGAATAAAAAACATACTAATTCAATTAATCGTTCTAATTGACCAATTTCTTCAGGTAATGAAACAAGTTTATTATTATTAATAATTAAAACTTCTAAATTAGGTAATTTACATAATGCTGGTGGAATATAAGCAAGTTGATTTCGACTATAAAAAAAAATATATATATATAAAAATAATTAAATTTTTTTTTCTTCAAAAAATTTAACCTTAAATCAAGAGTTTGTAACATATGAATTTGAACAATTTGTTCAGGTATTGATTTAATTACATTATGATAAAGATTTAAACGTTCAAGAGAAAAAAATGAACATAATATACGTGGAAATTCAATAAAACGATTACGAGAAAGATCTATGACAAATAAGAAAACTTTTATTTATTTATTTATTTATATAAAATTAAATTTACAAACCAGCAAAGACTGTATCAGAAAGATCACATTTATAATTAGGAAATTCTCGAAGTGTACGACCATTTAAATTAAGTTCACCTGTATGATTTGCTTCATCAAGTGCACGTTCAATACTACGATTTAAATGATAAATTGATATATTTTTATTTTTATTAACAGTAACATTTGATGTTGAATCAAGAATCAAAGTAGATGATGATGTGGCCATACATACACATGCGAGATTTTTATTTTAATTATATATATATATATTAATTAAACATTTTTTATATAAAAATTATGTTCATGGAATATAGAGAAGCACTTTATTTATTATAGTTATTTACTTCCTTGCACCATATCAATGTAAGAACACATAGAAAAAACCAATGAAAATTTATTGAGAAGAGGTCGCTTGTTTGAACAATGATTTGTTAAAAAGTAAATCGAAAAAAGTTAACTTTTAAAAGTTATTTCAAATTATTGAGATCTACACTAATACTTTTTATGAAATTATTAACCACTTTATTGTTATTCAAAGTTTTAGTTCATTGTAAATATTTTTTGTTATCTACAATTTATTTATTTTATAAACAATAAAGAAATACGATAGAATTTATGAAAAAAAAAAATTGTACATTGAGTAGAGCTTATCGGGTTGGTCTCAGATCCACATCTAATGAGGTCTAGGATTGGAAGTTTTCTATAAAGTAGAACTGGATCTGACAAGTATCTATTAGCTGGATCCGACGGGTTTCAATACTAAGTCAGATGATAAAATTTGATGTATAATTGAAATTTCAATATCAATTTATAAACTTAACACATATGTCTAGATTATTCATTACATTGTTAACGAAAATTTTCAAACAATCCTAAATTTTCCTATATATCATCAATAAAAAAACAGAATTCTATAATTGAATAATTTTCAACGTGTACCTATTTGCTAAACTTTTCGACATAAATCGAACAAGAATCATAGTTGTAGTCGTTTGAATTCTTTTTTGTACATTTTGTAAACATATCTAGGTCTTGGATTATTAATGAGTTTTTTTTCTTATCAAGACAAACACGACATTCAACGTGACCGTTTTTCATAGCACAAAATATTTTTGACATAATCAAGAGAAATTAACAATGACATTAACTGATATATATCTCAAGGACATCCACGTACAGCCATAATATCAAAACACACGAAGAGAATATTTTTGGATACATTGACATTTGAGCTTAGCAATAAGAATATTCTGTAAATCTAATTTATTCATATAAATAATAAATGAGATCAAAAGTGAAAGAAAGTTTTTGATCATTTGCAAGAATTGCCTTCGTGTTTGCTGATCAAACGTAGCGATCAAGTGTTCTAATCATTCATTCATGTGTTCATAAAAACAGAACCTATTTTAATCCTTCATTATTCTCAAAGTGCAATCTCTCAGTCATAATCAAATTTGCGTGTTGTTCTATATGCAAACTTCGAATATAGTCTCAAAAACAAAATCCGTTTAACGAAGTACGAATTCTTCAAATTTGATTATGGTTGAGAGATTATAATCTAAAATAATGAAGAAGAAAATATGAAAACATGAATGAGTACCTACAAACACTTGATCGTTGTTTTTCATAGACAAACAATAATGAGATTTTGTTCAACTTTTGATCTTAATAATCATTTGTATGAGTAAATTAAATTTATATAATATTTTTTATGCTAGGCTCAAGTGTAATTCTACCGGTATAGTATTTAGAACGATAAATATAGCATGTTTTTATATTATTGTGGGTGTTATTTTCTTTCCTATTTTATTCTATATGTAAGAGTTATGGTCTTTTTCACTAATTCATAGCTTTTCAAAACGGAAATTTTGAAAAATAATAGATGCGAATATAATCTCTTCCGATTTTATAAGATACACACTGAAATCTATTGCGTCTGTTTCTTTTTTATAAATATTCAGATACGTTAATAATAATTGTTATGAATTAAATTAACTTTTTGAATAGAATTTTTGTTAGTCAATTCATTAAATAATTATAGGTTTTATTTTAATAAGTTAATAAATTTATTAAATACTCTCGAACAAGTTTCAAATAGTATGATGATTTGAATAGTTAAATATACAAAGAGAAAATAATTAATGAAATATTGACTGCTTAAAACGATCATGATCTATAAATACTTTAATATTCTTTAATAGTTAAACGTATAAAACAAAGAAAACTATTTTTCATCATATCCTATTTAATAATAGACTTTTAAATAGTTATATATTTATATAATTATTGAAGATTAAAGAGTAGATATCAGATAAAACTCTCTCTAAAGTATGCCTATATTATATTGTTAAACTTACTTTAAACAACAATCACAGTCCTTTGATTGATGAGACCTAATGTTTCTGTAGACATGGAATATATACAAATGAAATAGCGCATGTTTATTATTGTTTATTTTGTTTTGTTTTTCTTAATCTATTATGTTCGTTTTCGTTTGATTAATAATGTCTTTTATCGATCAATTAAATCTATTATTTTTATTCATTAATATTATTACACGATGTTTAGCTAGTACATCCCCGCGTGGCACTAGAAAAGAAGTTAATCAAGTTTTTACTACTGGTATACATTTATTGAATCTCGATAGCGATGATGAGAATGAGAATGATAAAAATCAACATGGATCAGCACGTCCACATCCATCAACACAAGTTCATGGAACTTTTAATGATGATAAAGATGAAGGACATGATACTAGTAGTACGGATACTAGTAGTAGATTATCAGCAAAATCATCTGTTTATCGACGACCAAATCAATTTACACTTAGTGAATCTGATAGTAATGATGAATCAAATTTTCGACATGAACAAATGTCTGAAAAATCAGGGGTATTTGAATAAATAGATTTATTTTGTTTTTTAAAGAAATTAATGATTATATATGTTAGTGTCTAAGCTAGGATCTGAGATTGGACGAAAATTAATTTAGGCCACTTTCGGATTGATCAGTTACAATACCTTCAATATAAGATTCGCATGAAAATTTTAGTCGAATCTTAGATTGACCTAGGCTAATGTCGGCTTTTACAGATCAATCTCGAATTAAAGATTAACGATGAGAAGTCCCCAATTGGTTCATGTAATTTTCGCTGATATTTTGCGTGGATATCGAGAACCTTATTGTAAAAAAAACCTAATAGCATCTTTTATTAGGCTGTAGACCTACAAGCAAAAGTTTTCAACAAAATTGAATTGAAGATCTTTCTATTAATCGTTCAAAAATATATACTCGACATAGTTGGAAAAATTTTCAGAATGAACCAAAATTTCTAGCTTCGATAATTTAATAATTATCTATCTACAAGAAAAAAAAGATGAAAATGTTTATTTACGTCTAACATAAGTTTAGAGTACAGGAGATCGGCAATCACGAAAAAAATTTTTTGTTCCTGAAACTCCAGGTTATGGATCTGTTTCTTTCGATGATTTTTTATCACCACCATCACGCATTGGTCCATTGGGTTCTGGTCCAGTTGCTTCGTTAAACGAACTTTATCATTCTCCAATTGGTGCTTTTAATCGTGACAAAAATTTAGTAAATTATTTGAAAAAAAAAACAAAACTTTGCATTTATTTTTTTACAGTGATCGCAAGAAGATCGTCGTTATCTAAAAGCTGCAAAATCTCCATTAACTCCTGGAAGTAATTCAGTCGGTGTCATATCAGTAAAAGGTCGAGAAATACCAAGAGAATTTCTGCAAGTTGTTGACTTTGGTAGAAAAAAATAATAATAACGCATTAAGTAATATGATATGAAAAAAAAACATTTATATCTGGTAATTCTGCAACTGTTTATGGTATTGAATTAAATGGTGAAAATTTAATACTTAAAATAACTAAACATAATTATATAGGTGATTCATGTAATAATGAAATTCCACAATGTGTTCATGAAAATGATATTGAATCATTATATAAATCCGATGATCCTTGTAATCATAAACTAGAAAATGGTCTTATTCGAAAATCTTCTTGTTCAGCTGATCCTGACTTAGGTTAATTTGAAAAAATAAACAATATAGTAAATTGATGGTTCATTTTCCATCAAAAATTCTTTACTTAGTACTATTTGAATATTATATTGCAGAAAAAGTTGCTCTTACACGTGGTTTAGTATATGATAAATCTTAATTATTATTTATAAAAAAATATTCATAATTAATTTTTTTCGATGCCAGCTGCAGCAAGTATATCAAATACATTTGCAAAAGATAAAAATGAATGGTATTTAATATTTGAAGAATTACGTGATATATCACCATTAAAATATGGTGAAAATATATTAGAACGTCTTGCTAAACCATTAAGTCATATCATAGAGAATTGTTTTATTTTATTTTATTTTTTTTGTTTTAGTTCGACAACAACTAGAAGTATTAAAACAAATTGCTCATTGTCATATAATGCATCTATTTGTATTTAAATTTCTTTTGAAATAAAAATTAAAAAATTTTTCTTTTTCTTTTTAGTGATGCTCATTGGGGAAATATATTATATTCTCGTGAAAGTGGTATACAATTAATTGATTTTAGTATTGCAACACTTATTGATCGATTTGAATTACCGAATTCGAACGCAACATTAATTATAACATTTACTTTTGATCGATCTGTAGATTGTGAAGCATCAAAATTACGACGAAATTTTCAACAATTAATTAAAAATAATTATCCAATCAATGGTCATACTCTTCTTTCACATCCATGGTTACAATATTAAGAAGAAAAAAAAAAAACATGAATTATTTATATTCTTTCTCAAAACAAGTTTTCAATCGAATTTTTTTTTCTTTCTTTTTATAAAGTGCAACAAAATAATTGTGTTTACTTTATTGTTTTTATTTTCTTCTGATACTTCTTCTTTCTTATTCACATATTCGAAGGTAATTCGGTATTGAAGAATAAGACGAAAATTTTGTAGAAAAAAATAAATTTATTATGAATTCTGAAATGGATCTTCCTTCAATGTCCATAGATTTAAATTCATTTTCAACAGTTGAAAATCCACCAACCTTCAATTCTACTCGATTACAAACAATTGATTTTAGTAAATATTTACGTAAAATAGCTGGTATTGATGTACCATATATACCTTGTACAGTTATTTGTATTGGATTTGATCTCCTTTTTACATTAATTACATTAGTTATGGGAAGTTCGAATTTTTCGTCATGTCCAATTGAACCTCGAATACCAATTTATTTGGTCGTAGTGTCTACAATTAATCTTGTAATGATTTTTTTAACTATCACTGCTTGTTTTCTTCATGTCAAAAAAAAAGATGATAATTTATTTGGATTTTTTTTTATTACTTCAGCTGCTATAAGTATTTTAATTTTACAATTATTTTGTTTTATTTGGCTGATTTTGGGAACTGTTTGGACATATAGTATTCTCAATGAAGTACAATATACACCAACAAATAAGGGAACTTATTGTCAAGCAAGTATTTATAGATATACATTAGTTTCGATTATTTTACAATATATTATTCCAATTATTTTATGTTGTGGTAAAAATATACGACTAATGAAATAAAAAAACATATTAAATAAATAAAACAAGAAGGTTTTTTTCTATTACTTAATAAAATATTCGATATTATTGTTAATGTCAATTTTAATATTAACGTTTTACACAATACTAAAGATACTTTACGGTATTCAAATGAAGTTTTGTTCTTAGTTTGACAAAAAAAAAACAACAGTTTTGTTGGTGACATAGTTAATAATATCAATACCATGACAACAATAGATTTGTTAATGCATAAAAAAGACAATTAAACATTCGTTTTTTTCCCTAGCTTTTTTATTATTTGTTAATTATGAAGGAAAAAAACCTTCACTTAGACAGCTCTTATAGGTGTGATTAAAAATACTTTGTTATGCTTCCTACCAAATAATATGACGAAGCATTATGTGTATCATCGATCATAATCAATCTTTTGCAACGGAGAGGAGTGATAAGACATGGGAAAGACACCCTAGAAGGGCAAATTAATGACAAGAACACGTATAAACATTTCATGTTGTTGTTAGAAGTTATATGTGTTACTTTGCAAAATAAGGGCCATGTGGTTTTCTCTTTGCATTTTTTTTCCTTAGTTTCATTTTGCATTTAAGAAATTTATGACAAATAATAATCGAAATTCTAGACAACATGACAAATTGGAACAATCAAATACTCAATTGGTCATTGTATTCATGACATGTTCTTGAAGTAGTCCACTTAATTACGTTACTAGTATCATTAAAATGACGAAAGAGAAATTGATGAGAATAGCATGCGTGCTCATGTTAAAGTTAGTAGTGAAATCAAGTCTTTATTGTCAATAATCGTTAGTTGTCGATGTTGCCTCATCATCATTATTATTATTATCATTATTCAGTAGTTCTATTCACTTTCTTTCTCTTGCGGCACCATCTGATATATTTCTTTAGTTCTCGTCTTCATTCTCTTTTCTGCATGAAAATAAAAAGTCAATTTTTGCCCGTTTGTTGAAAACGAGCAAGAATGGATTTTTTTTCCTTTGCATTCTTTTTTTTTTATTGATGTGATTTAGAAGCTAAAATATATACGACTATCTTTATATCCAGGATGGTGTGTGTCACAGAGCACATAAGGCTATTCTTTGTACATGACATAAGGGCAATTGCAAACGACGAGACAAGAAAGAAAACGAGCGAGCGAACGAGCAAACGAACGAGAACGTTCCAAGAATGGGAAACGTTGCTCATTTTTTTTTTCTCTCCTTTCTTTCTCTTTTTTTCAGTGCAGCTTAATGAACACGACTGTCGTTTCTCACCATAGTGAACATACAAGTGGCCCTCGGCAGCAGATAACTTCCTGCTTGTTAGTTCATGTGCGTGTGAATGAGTGACCGCTTGAAAGGACGAGAGGAAGAACAAGTAGGAGGCGGAGAGTAAAAGAAACGGAGAAAAAAGGATTGGTACCAGGCATTCTTTGCTATCGGTATTGTGGCATTTTGGATAGATAGTTGTTGATGTGTTGTTCTTTTTTCTGTTGTACATACGTGCCATGCTAATGTCTTGCGTGTCTCTAATAACTAGCCCAATAGATAGATGATTGTCTTTAGAAAATCATCGCAAGCTTGTCGTTGTTACGTCTCTCTCTCTCTTTCTTTTCTTGTGCTGATCTTTTCAATGAATCGTCGCATTGTAAACGAGATAAAGAAAGCAAGAAAGAGCAGGAGATAGAGAGAGTGCGAAGCGAACAGAGCATTTTTCTGTTGCGTGCTTTCTGTCGTACGATTTCGATAGTTACTGATGAATCTTCTCTTTATTCTTTTCTTTTGTATAATAATAAAAATCTCCTGAGACTAACATACAGTATGCATCAAAGAACATGTGAACTAAAAACTAATATTATTATCAAATGCAGGTAAGTAATCACTTAGAAATATTTTTGACTACTTGATTGAAAGATATATAATAACCAAGACAAAAGAAAAAAGATAATAAGAAAAACAAATGTTCAATTCTATATACTATCAATATTGCATATGTTCACATACATATTTAATGATAGTTTTCATCAATCGTTGAACTATCGGCTTAGTCTTCAATATACGAAGATCGATAGACACGATTGCGTGAGTGTCTCTCAATAGTAATTGAAAGAGAACACAGCGACAGAATGCTCAGAAAAGAGTAGTTACTCTATTGCATGTTCCGTCAGCTTATGATGACGAACACCATGAGCTAACAACTTGCTCGAATAAGGTTTGTGCGTCAATAGCAATCGATACATGTATTCCCTAGTGTCTAATGATAAGAAAACACAATCGTCTCTTTTTTTCCATCATCATCACCATCATCATCATTATCATCGAACGCAAATACTAGATGTCTATAAATGTATATATATCTATATATGTCGTGTCTTCCAGAATAATGAAATTAGTGAGACAGGCATACTATTTCGTTGTTGTCGCATGTCTATCACCATATAGATTTATATATCTGTGTATATTTATATACACATTGATATAAATACACAATTATTTATTTCTTTCGCTTTAGTATCAAAACTAAATAAAGTCTGCTACTATTTTTTTTTTGTTTTCATTTTATTTAGTAAATGATTATTTGAAGATAAGTTTAATCAAAGATTTATTAAATAAATAGATATGCATACATGCATGCATATATTTCATTTTATCAAAATAGATCTCTATATGTATGTGGGTGTGTGTTCCAATCATGATTATAGAAGAAAGATCTTTATGTTTGCGCTTTTTATTTTTATGTAACCATCAAATATAGGGAGTATTGCTTGTGGATTGATGAATAGATGGGATAGATGGATGTTCCTTATTTTCTTCGCTTCGTTCGTTCTCGATGACTTCGTCGAGCCTTACTCTCTTAAGTAATGATGATGGTTGTAACAGGAATAGAAGTATAGTATAGAGAAATAAGAGGCTCGTTTCTATAATCATTTTTTGATAATGCAATGTGATAATAGACGTAAGAGAGCGAAAGAGAAGAAAAGAAAAATGGAAAGATGAATATAATATCATTATTCAAGTTCAAATCACACATCTATTAATAAAAATAGAAAAGATTTTTTTTTTTTCGTGTGTAAATGTCATTTGATCAAAATAATTAAATAATATTGTATCAAGAAAAAAAGAAACGAGAGGTAAGTTGATGATATATCAATAACTTAATGTTGATTGAGTCGAGATAAAAGATAAAAATTAATTCTCTTGAGAGAATCTAATACCCTTCCCTTCTGATTGTTGTTGTTGTTGTTGTTTTTTCTTCTTTCAAGATCTAAACAGTAAGACTATGCCTGATGAACATCATCAACGGCAACCAAAAGAACAACAATATAGATGGAATTAGTCAGACAACTCGCTGGTCTTTCTGTTTCACATATAAGACAATTTCGTGATGATGATTCTTATGTTGATCGACTCAGTCATCGATATACAACAACTATATGTGTGGTTTTTGCTATTCTTGTCACGACAAAACAGTATGCTGGTAGGAAATATAAACAACAGTTCGTTATTGTTATTATTATGATTAATTTATTTTTAGGTGATCCTATTGATTGTTGGGTAATTGTTATTTTCTTTTTAAAATTAAATTATTTATTATTAATAATTGGTTAGGTACCAGCTCAATTTAAACCATCTTATGAAGCATACACAGATAGTTATTGTTGGATTGCTAATACTTATTGTAAGAAATTCTATATTGATGTTTGTTTTTCTTTAATAAAGAAAATTGAATTTCTATTAGATATTCCTATTGATCAAGAACTACCTGATGATGAAACTAGTCGACGAAATAAAGATATTGTAAATAATAGATAAGATTTATTTCTTTTTTTAAGATAATTAATTATTAAAATTTCTTTTTTTCTTTAGCTCTATTACCAATGGGTACCATTCATATTATTATTTCAAGCATTTTTGTTCTATTTTCCACGTATTGTTTGGCGTACACTTAATGTGAAATCAGGTCTTGATTTAGTAAATCTTATTGATGCAGCAATAGTAAGTTTTTTGTTTTTTTTTATAATTATTAAATAATTATTATTCGTTGAAAATTTTCTTTTAGAAATATGAACAAGTTGAACAGTATGAATCACGAGATCGTATAATGAGTTATTTAATTGTTAATATTGAACGTTATATATCCGCACGAGCACAATTGACACGACATCATATTGAAAAACGTTTTTCAACTC